AGAATAGAATAGAATAGAATAGAAAATGGAATGGAATGGAATGGAATAGAATAGAATAGAATAGGAGAATGGAACAGAATAAGGAATAGAATAGAATATTAGATTAGATCAGAATAGAATAGAGTTGGAAGGGACCTTGGAGGTCTTCTAGTCCAACCCCGTTTAGGCAGGAAACCCTACACCACTTCAAACAAATGGTTATCCATTTTTTTCTTTAAAACTTCCAGTGTTGGAGCATCCACAACGTCTGGAGGCAGGTTGTTCCACTGATTAATTGTTCTGACTGTCAGGAAATTCCTCCTTAGTTCTAAGTTGCTTCTCTCCTTGATTAGTTTCCACCCATTGCTTCTTGTCCTGCCTGCAGGTGTTTTGGAGAATAGCTTGACTCCCTCTTCTTTGGGGCAGTCCCTGAGATATTGGAAGACTGATATCATGTCTCCCCTAGTCCTTTTCATCAGACTAGACATACCCAGTTCCAGCAACCGTTCTTCATATGTTTTAGTCTCCAGTCTCCCAATCGTTGTTGCTCTTCTCTGCACTCTTTCTAGAGTCTCAACATCTCTTTTACATCATGGCAACCAAAACTGGATGCCGTATTTCCAAGTGTGGCTTTACCAAAGCAAACCTTCAGTCCCCTAATCATTTCTTCTCTACAGGTTGGGAAACACCAAGATACTAAGTTCAGGGCTCTTCTGGCGTGTTTGAGCCACCCATCCCAGAAAGCTGAGCTGTAGGGGCTAGGAATCCTGGGAAATGGGCTCCTCATCCCTTTTGGAGGGGAAAGGGGGTGGAGAAAGCTGGCCTAGAGATCTTCTCCATGTCAATGGTGGTAAACCATGGTTGAACATATTCAAAGATCTTCTCGTAGAACAATTATTTTAGTCCATGACCTGCTCACCTCTCCATCTTGATTCCTTGATATGTTTTAGAAGACATGTTTTTCTGTCTACCATCCATAGGGCAGTACTGCTTAATCTTGGCTACAAAAAAAGCAAAGAAGACGACCAAACCTTTTTTTCTTTAGATCTTCAGGGGTTTGCAAAAGATGGAAAGATTTATCTCCTTTCTCCTTTCTCCCACTTGAGATCCCATGCCGATAATAGAAAGCAGAGGAAATTGGGCTCAGAACAAGTGGGACTTCTATTAACCAGTAGAGTGATGGAGACAAGGTGCCATGCTGTTCCCGAAAAAAGTTAAATTAGATAAGATACTAGATCATATTAGCTTAGATCAGGTTAGGTTGTAAATTGGATTGGATTAGAGAGGAGACGGATGGCACTAAATCAGATTAGATAATTCTGGATTAGATAGCAAATGGATTGGATTGGATTAAACTGGGATGGGTTGGTTCGATTGGTGTCAGGAGCAAAAGATCAGGTCTACACTTGAAGGTCCAAGTGATTTTGTACTGATTTATTGCACTTTATTATACTGATGTATTTATTTTAAACTAATTTATTGCTACTCGGGTCTATGCACAAGAATCTTCTCAATTGCTGAACTTCAACTAAGGGTCAACGGAATTCAAGAAAGGTTGGAGTTAGCTTGTTTGTGGCTACATAGGAATTCTAGGCTGATGCCACTTTTAACTCCGCCCCCAGGTTTTGCCGTCTTTTATCCTACAACTGGATTAGATTAGATAGCAAATGGATAGATGGATTGGATTGGATTAAGCATCTGTAAACATGGCCCATCTTTAATTATCAGCATGGATTATAAAATATATTCTAAAGAAGGCCAAAAAAAAAGAAAATACAATCCCAGTGGCCTTTTAATATTCTGGCATGTTCTTTGTCATCCCACCGAAGTTTATTTTCATTTCTGTTTTTCTCCACTCTCCTGTTTGGCACCCCTTTATTCCAGGGGTTCAGTCTGTCTCCCCAGGAATCCTAGCCCTGTAGCCTCTGAGCAAGAGCTTCTCTTAATCGGTTCTCTAAACGTGGTCCTTCTTTTCTCCCACTTCTTCAGATAAGGCATGCCATCACTCCAAAAGACATCAAACGGGCCCGCTTACAGGGTAAACCTGTTCCAAAGCAGTCCATCATCGACTTCTTGATCGAAAACGCCGCAAAGCTGATCTTATACAAGTACAATTATGAAACTCTCCTTTCCGAGAAGCTGGGTTTTATCTCCGTCCCGGTCACCAAGGTTCTTCTGGAGATCATGTTTGGCTACAAGAAAATTAAGGGCAGCGGGATACGTCTTTCTTCTCAGATCGACTGGACCAAAGTCTACGACGAGCTCTACAAGAAACGGCCACCCAAGCCCAAAGTGCCCAAACAGGAGAAGAAGAAGAAAGGCGAAGAGAAGAAAGAGAAGAAAGGTGGGGAGAAGAAAAAAACCGACGAGAAGAAGAGCTTGTTCATGAAACCACTAGACACGCCCAAAGGAAAAGTGATCAGCATGAAGACAGCTGGGGAGCACGGCACCATAAAGGGCTCATCGGATCAGGGAGAACCAGAGATTTTTGAGATCGTCCCTCCCCAGTTCCCATCCGATGCTGAGCCGGCCTCAGCCGATGAGAATAACGGCACTGAACCGCCAAGCTCGAAGTTCTCTCCTTCCAGTGCAAAGGCCTCGACCATCATGGAGGACAATCCTAAGAAATTGGGAGTTCCCGATTTGGAGAAGACGCCTTCGTCTCTTGGCACACCAAGGCATTCGTTGACCAACCGAAAACCTACCGCAGCTGGTCTCTTACCAGAGGTGGATGCCGCCAGCCAGGGCTCTGAAGTCCAGGGGAGGAAATCTTTGTCGCACAAGACGAGCTACATTGGAGAAGGGAGCAAAACCGTGCTGCCGAAAATCTGAAACTCAAGCCTTCTCTGATTAATAAAGGATATACGTTTGTCTACGGGCCCTGCCAACATCCGATTCCGTGCCTTTCCCGCCACCGAATCTAACCGGTATCTCCTCTGCAAAACGACCAGCCTCTTGAACTTTCCGATATAGAGTTTTTGTTTTTGTTTTAAATTCATGAAATGTTGAGTTTTATTCTTCAGAATCCATCCTCTCTTCCATCTCCTGGTCAGAGATGTCTTGAGTTTTTCCTGCTTTTTTTCTTTTTTAAACATTAAAAAAAGAGACTTTTTCCCCCCCCCTTGGCTTCCCATCTATCCTATACTTTGTTTTTAACCCATTTAACGAAGCTTCCTTAAGAAGGGAATATTTGAACTGGGGGTGGGTGGGGGTCCTTGGTGCGAGCCTCTGAGCTGGGTGGTTTTCTTTGCAGGTGTTTCGGGACCCAACTAGGTAACGTTATCAATGCTACAAGGGAGTGGGCTTTGCTCTCTTTGTCGCTGCACATAAACAGAGTGGGCCACCTCCCAAAAAGGAAAGATTAGCTTCTCAGAGAATAGAAGCATACTGTGCAAAAACTTAAATTTAACCAGATGGTACGCTATTCATGTATTTGGTCTGTTATCTTCCTTCCTTCCTTCACCTTGTTTCTTTTTCTTTCTCCTCTCTTCTCTTTCTTTTTTCCTTCTTTCTCTTTTTTCTTTTTCCTTTCTCTTTCATCCTTCCTTCCCTCCTTCTCTCCTCTTTTTTTCCTTTTCTTTATTTTTTCTTCTTCCTTCCTTTCCTTTTTCTCCTTTCTTTTTTCTTCTTCCTTCCTTCCTCTTTCTTTTTCTCTTTTCCTTTCTTTTTTCCCTTCTTTCCCCTTCTTCCTTCCTTCCTCTCTCTTTTCCCTTCTTTCTCTTCTCTTTCTTTTTCCCCTTTTCTTTCCCTTCCTTTTTTTCCCCTCTCTTTCACCCAGAGATTAAAGTGGCATGCTAGTTGGCATAATACACCAACAAATAGCTCCCTTTTTAATCTTTCAACGCCCTAAGAACGACCGTTTGGTTCACTAAGCACCATAGCAGAACCACCTTAATCCCCGCAAACAGGAGGCATTTTAATAAGAGCCTTTATTATTTAACCAAACAAATTAAAATTCACGTGGACGGAAGGCGGGATTCGAACCAGCCTCTACTACCAGGCTCGGGTTCAAGCGCGCAGCTGCCACCTCGCGGCCCCACCCACTCTTTCCTCCTCAGCTTTCCCGCCCCTTTCCTGTCCGCCACGCCGCCGCAGCTGATTGGCCGCGTGCCTCGAGCCTATCAGCTCCCCAGCGTCGCGACGCCGGGGGGCGGAACCAGAACACGTGCTCCGTGTTGGCAGCCGCGGATTGGCTGCCGTCGAGCGCCGGCAACGGAAACGGCTCCTGAGGCGAAGTTCGAGCTGCAGCCGCCGCCACGGCCGACCAGCCGGACGAAGCCTCGGAAGGAACGGAGATGCGGCAACCGCGCGGCGGCGCTTCTTCGTCTTCTTCGGCCCGGCCCGGCTCGTTTCTCCTGTCGCTGCCGCTCCTGCTGCTGCCGTTGCTGTTGCTGTTGCTAGCCTGCGGGCCGGGCCGGGCGAAGGAGGCCGAGGCGGGCGCTGTCACTTGCGGCTCGGTGCTGAAGCTGCTCAACACGCGGCACAACGTGCGGCTGCACTCGCACGAGGTCAAGTACGGATCCGGTGAGGAGAAGCGGAGGAGACTACAACTCCCAGAATACCCAGCCTGGGAGGGAGGAGCGGGCGGGGTGTGTGTGTGTGTGGGGGGGGTGTCCGTCTTTCAGATAGACTGCTCCTGAGCCGGGAGGATCTATTCCCTATGAAAAGACGGCCTGAAGTGCTTTATGGAGGGGTGGGAGGAGCGGAGGTTTGACGGTGCCTTATATTCAGATAGACAGCTCCTGAATGGGGAGGCTCTATCGTGAATGAGGCCTGTCGGGAAAGACGGGCCTAAGTGCTTTCGTTTGGGGTGTGTGTGTGTGTAATTCTGCCTTGTATTCAGATAGACAGTTTCTGAATGGGGAGGCTCTATCATGAGTTGAAGCTCCCAGAAAGCCTAAGTCCCCTGATCTGGGTGGGAGGTTGATGGTGCCTTGCCTTCAGATAGACAGCTCCTGAATGGGGAGGCTCTCTCAGGGATATGGGCTACCTGGAAAAGTTGCCCTAAGTCCCTGGGGGTAGGTTTCGTACTTCAGATAGACAGCTCCTGAACCAGGAGGGTCCCTCAGTGATGGCAGCTGAAAGGAAAGAAGGGTCTAAACTCCCCCTTGGGTGGGGGAAGCTGTTGACTTGTATTTCAGATAGACAGCTCCTGAATAGGAAGGCGCTACTACAAATGGGTGCTACCTGCAGAGATGGGTTTAATCTCCCCTAGCTAGGCAGGGACCCTTCCCCTGGCATCACCTCTTGAGCTTTTGCCAACCTGTCCATATAGGGTTTACCAAAGAAGGGAAGCTGTGTGTCTTTTCTCCGTGAGTAAAATCAGGAAATAAAACCCAGAAGCTGCCGTGGCTGAGTGCTATGTTTAACAGGGGAGTGGGGGTAGTGTACAAAACGGGCTTTATATAGGGTTGGAGGGTGTTTGCTTTGCTCTTCAACCTCTGGAAAGCTAATAAACCTCATTATTATTATTATTATTATGCTTCTTATTGCTATACCAAGCTGATCTATTTGTTATGGCTACCAGTTTGTTCCTGCTAGTTCCAGCGTTTGTTCTCTAGCTTCGGCTTTGTAGATTGCTTCTGGCTATGAAGTTTCAACATCAATTTTGAGGAAACCAGTTTAGTCAGACCAGAGTTTCATCGAACTGAGCCACCTTTTTTGAGGGATTGGCAGAATATCTAGGGGAAAGTCCCTTGTCTGTCATTCAAAGCTAGAATGGCTTCTGTATTGTTGATGTTCTACATGTAGATTTAGGAGACATTATTGAAGTTTCACAGAGCTGCCAATGTGAAAAGTAAATAATAGAAATCCCGTACAAAGAGATTTCATTTAGCATTCTTCCTTATTTGCTGTTGATGGATCAGGAAAAAGGGAAAATGAATGCAGTGCAACATAACTATTGAGTTTTCTGTCCTTTCTTGGGAACAAATAACGTCAGCGCAACAATTCACTGACTGAGAGGGTAACTGTTTTGCTGTTAGGTAGTGGTCAGCAGTCTGTGACTGGAGTCGAAGGATCAGATGATGCCAACAGCTATTGGCGCATCAGGGGCAAAAATGACGGATCCTGCCAACGAGGAGTACCAGTAAAATGCGGGCAGACAGTCCGCCTTACTCATGTCAACACTGGGAAGAATCTGCACACCCACCACTTCTCGTCACCGCTCTCCAACAACCAGGTAAAACTGGAGTATTTTCACACTTGATGTAATTTCAGCTGCGTGGATACCTTTAAAGCTAATTGATTCTACTGTTGAAGTTGGAGTTTTAGGAAGGATGCTTACCTGGTTGAAATGTTCAATTGTTCTTTTTTAATTTGCTATCTACCATTTGACACTACATATATATAACAGCAGCCCCCAAGCTTTTGGGCACCAGGGACCCCGTGAAGAGAGGTTTTTCCACGGATCAGAGGGGGTTTGGTTTCGTGTGCTGCCTGCATCCTACGGACGGGGCTTCGCTTGTTTGTGCAATCCAGTTTGTGCATGCCGTGGCCCGGTGCTAGTCCATGGACCGGAGTTTGGGGACCCCTGATAATACAGCATAACTCTATACAATTTTAATCAGTCTTGCTGTGACTTGATTTTTTTGCATAATAGGTCTCAATTTTGTGAATTTTTAAATGAATTTACAACACATTCATGAACTGTTTTTGACAGTTCCAATGTTAAAAGTCCTTAAAGCTTGTTCGAGGTATTCTGTTCATTTCTTACTATGCAAAAAATACATATCCAACATGATTTGTACTCAGATATATTTACACAAATGGCAAGCTATCTCTAATTCTATTTAAAGGACTACTTTGTAGAAGTAGAATATGATGCCATTATTTTTTTCTACAGTACAATTTGACTTTTTTTGTCAGGCCCAAAGATCCAGGCCCACACATTCAAAGTTCAAGCTACTTTATTATGTTCTGCCTATAATATAGAAATCTCCCCAGTCTGGCAACCTTCTCCAGGAAACTCTGTACCTCTGTAATTAGCATTCTACTTGACATCGGTGTGAGTGGTTTGTTAATGGTGTCATACACTGTGTACATTGCAGTTGACTATTAAAGTGTTTCATACCTATTTCGAACTGATATAACTATCTGATTATTTCTACTAGCAGGTTAAACTTACTGAAACTGCTACAGGGCTGAGGGAAAGTACTTTTATCTAAAGCAACATTTTTATTTGCTCCCAGTTTCTGTTTGTTTTTTGCAGACATTAGCTACAAACCTTTGATGCCTTAAAAAGGGATAAAGTTGCTCTAGAAAATATTGACTTAAGTCACCGTGCACTAAAGCAGAGCAAGTGCACTCATGATTTTAAACCATTTGCAGTTCATGCTTCAGCAAGTCACAGTATACATGTAATTTGAATCAGATCATTATTTCAAAGCTAATTGGTCCCAATTTGTCATTTCTTATCTGGGTTGCTGCCTTTCAGTTTTACAAGCTAAAAACCAGTTCACAAATCACAGTAACTGTGTTTATGCTGCAGGCTAAACCAACACAATTCAGGGTTTCCTAACTTTAGATCTGTGGGCTTCAATTCCCAGAATTCCCCAGGCACCTTGCTGTCTGGGGAATTCTGGGAGTTGAAGTCTTACAGATCTTAAAGCTGGCAAGATTAAGGAGACAGTTTTGTCCATCCAGGATCTTAAGCCGTCATGTGGCGGCTTGGTCTTGTTTGCACTCTGCGGCTTACGGTGCAGCTTATAGTGTCAACCCAGCTTAAATCACACCACAAAGATGCATCTTCACGGCCATTTTTTTTCTCCCACCCCATTTCTGCCTTTGACAGGAAGTGAGTGCCTTTGGCGATGACGGCGAAGGGGACGATTTAGATGTGTGGACAGTCCAGTGCAGTGGCACCTACTGGGAACGAGATGACGCCGTGCGCTTCAAGCACATGGGAACTGATGTGTTCCTTTCAGTGACGGGGGAACAATACGGGCACCCCATCCGGGGTCAGCGGGAAGTTCACGGGATGCATTCCGCTAATCACCACAACTACTGGAAAGCCATGGAGGGGGTTTTCATCAAGCCCAACTCGGACTCCACGAAGCATGATGAACTCTGAATATGTCCTGATAAGCATTTCCTCTCCCCTCCCCCCCTCCTGTAAATTCCCCTCCCTCAAAGCTCAGCATCTTAAAAGGGCATGGAGACACCTTTGGGAGGGCAGCGTCTCATGCTTCACTTCGAAGGATCTAAATCCGACTGGTTCCTCTTCCTTTTCCCTAGCCATTTCTTCTTCCTGTTTCATTCATTTGCAGCCCGCTGCCCCCTTTTTTCCCCTGAAGGAAGGAAAAATGATTTGCTGTCTATATTCTTAATTCCGAGGTGCAATAAAACCTAACTTTTGTAATTCTTTCTCATTAAATACTCCTGAAATATGTTCCCATCGACAGTCATGGATGCTGCGTTCCTGATTGTCCGTAAAAAGCTTGCTAGGTCAGCCAATTACTCTGCCCTTTTTGAAAAGCCCATGGCAGGAGAAGACCAGGAGAAGACGGATAGAAAAATATATATTAAAAAGTGAATTCTTTAGATCACCCCCAACTTTCTGCTGCTCTCATCTCTCTAATACTTCACACAACCTTTAGTTGGATTCATTTGTTTTATCTTCAATTTCCGTGGGAAATTGACAACCTGCTGGTGTTTTTCCCCCCTGCTGATAAGAAACAGTTGCTTAAAGAAAAGGAACAAAGTTTTCCGCAAAGTGCTTTAAGGAACTCCAGAACAAGCCATGGAAGGACAAGTGAAATTGCTATAAAACGTTAGAAGGGTGGGATGTTGCACCTTCTTTTGTGTTACTCCATTCCATCCTGGTGTGTGTAAAGATTCAGACTAGTGCAGTGAGAACTAGCAGTTCAAGGCTTCAGAAAACCGTTCAAAATCTACTCTTACCTTCCAGGAACTTCTAGCAAATTGCTACGTACCTGTGAACTCAGAACATTGGGAAGAAGAAACTTTTTTAAAAAAAAGTTTTAATTCTGGAGTCTCTGATTTATTTGCTCTGCAATTAGCATCCAGCTGAGAAGTTTCTCCCAAATCTAACCAAGTGGTAAATTAAGGATTAAGTGTCCATAAATTTGAGCTCCACTGCCCAGCCTAGGTGTGATGCTTCACGTTGTCTCCCCCGCCTTCATTTGTCGTGCTTTTTTTTTCTTTCCAGTTGTCGGTGGGCATTCTGTCATCATCAACATTGCTCTGAATTTTCTTTCTAAGATTCCCCCCCCCCCCTCTTAAGGACTTCTGTTCATCTTCAAATCCCTTCTCGAATCTTCTCATGTCCCTTCCTTGTAAGGGGATGATGCATTTGAGGGGAGACGTAAAGACTGCATAAAGTAAAAGTTCATTAGATTATTCCCAAGTATAAACATTCAAGGGCTTACGATTTCTCCTTTCTGATCATGTCCCTTTGGCAGAAATTACTCCAGCAGTGAAATCACCTCTGAGGCCTTAGATGGGAGCACGCCCCACGCCTGGAGCTATTTAATGAAAGTCGCAGTGTCTTACTGGTGTCTGACTCACCAAGTTCGCATATTTGTGGTAAAATTCCCCTGGCAAACAAGTAAATTTGCCAGAAAATCAATCCATCTTATAAAACGCGTGGTTGATCCTTGCCATTTGTTCCCAATGTGAATTTTGAGGGCCACAGTGATAGAACCATTTGTTTAGTGACCGAAGTTGCAACGGGAAAATTGACTTATGACCATTTTTCACACTTAACAACCACTGCAGCATCCTCATGGCTGTGCGATCAAAACTCGGATCCCTGGCAACTGGTTCCTATTTAATGACCGTCTCACCGTCCTGGAGGCCTGATCACCTTTTGCGACCTGACGAGCAAAGTCAATGGAGAAGCTAATCGGGGGTTGGACTAGAAGACCTCCAAGGTCCCTTCCAACTCTGTTAATTCTGATCACTTGATTCACTTATCAACTGCAGTGAATCACTGAACAGCGGTGGCAAAATAGGTCGTAGAACGGGGCAAAATTCACTTAACAGCTGCTCTGGTTAGCGCTGGATATTTTAGGCTCAAGGACTACCTGTATGTGACTTTCACCAAGCTGTGTAGGCCCTTGTGCTGGATTATTTGGAAGAAAGCTCCGGAATTTGATGGTGCTTTTGAGAAAATACTTGGGAACCAGCTGCAAAAAGATGCTTAGCTTTTATTTAGACATGCCCTGTTCGATGCTTAAACTTGTATCGGCGCAGCGACCCAACAGTGAAGCCAAATGAATTTATTTTCATTTATTTATTCAATTGAATCCGCCATCCACCTCCCTGTCCAAAGTGACCCTGGGCAGCTTACACTGTAATCAAAACACGGACGCTATTAGAAACAGAAGAACAATTAAAATGACAAAGGGTTAAATCTTTAAAACAAAAACCAAAAACCAACCACAGGCTCCAGCAGAGGGGAAGTGGTACTTTAATATATATTTAAAAAAAAAAAAACAGAAACCAAAGACGAAAAACCTAGAAACCATCTATTACTCAGCTCCTAAACCTTCCTGCTAGCATGATTTATTAATCAAAGAATTCACCCCCCCCCTTTTTTTTCATCCCAAGGGAAGGAGGGGAGAAGAAAAATCAAATTGGACAAGTTGGGGGGAAGACTGGAAGATATTGCAGGTGCAGAAGAGCTGATCCAGGGTGAATTTTTTTTTTTCAAAAGTTCACACGGAGGGTTTAACAGGCATTTTTGCCTGCCCAGCTGAGGCCCACAAGAGCTTTGCGTTCCACCATTCCAGCTTCTTTGGGGGCTTCTGGCTTCTCATTTCTGGGATCAGGGAAGACATGAGCAGGGGGTCAGACTAGAAGACCTCCAAGGTCCCTTCCAACTCTTGTCATTCTATGTCAGAAGTTTCTGGAGACCCCGTCTTGAGGTTGGATTCATATTCTAAAGTTGCAACCTAGAACTAAGGAGAAATTTCCCGACAAATAAAACAATTGTACAGTGGAACAGGCTGTCTTCAGAAGTTGGTGGCTGCTCCATCGCAGGAGGCTTTTAAAAAGAGAACAGACGTCCACTTGTCTGGAATGGTATAGGGTTTCCTGCCTAAGCAAGGGGTTGGACTAGAAGACCTCCAAGGTCCCTTCCAGCTCTATTCTGATTGATTGATTGCAAGCACCACCAGGAGATCTGTGAACGTTTCCCCTGCCTCCGGGGCACCCATCTAAGAGAGACATAGAATGGACCTGCTAAAGGCAGCCCTCCAGTTACAACCACAATTGAGCCCAAAATTTCCATCGCTAAACAAAGCAGTTTTATTTTTGCCAACAGTTGTTAAGCGAATTACTGCAGCTGTTAGAGGAGTCATGCAGTCATTAAGTGAGTCTGAGTCCTCCCCCACCCCCCACATCGACTTTTGCTTGCTGGGAAGGTTACAAGTGGTGATCACATGACCCCAGTACAGTGCAACCGTCACAAGTACACGCCAGTTGCCAAGTGCCCGGATTTTGACCATGTGACCGTGGGGATACGGCAGCAGTCATAAGTGTGAAAACCGATTCTAAGTCACTTTTTCCAGTGCCGTTGTAACTTTGAACAGTAAACGAATGGTTGTAAATTGAAGTCTACATGTATAAGGGGAAGAGAAGGGAGGAGGAAGAAGAATAGGGAAGGAAGGAAGGAGGAGGAGAAAAATATTTGTTTATTTTAAGAATGAATACAAGGCATGAAATCTATTTAAGAAATGCTGCCATGCCCACCATGCTATCTTCTGTTGTGCAAATGCAAACCGGGAAAATCCCACGTCTCTACAACCGAAATAATCCCAGCAGCTATAACAGGATTGACTTCTAGAAGATTTTTATAACCACAGAAATTAGCCGAATTCACTTTCATTTTTCCCCTCTAGCAGCCATAGCCAGATGTCCCATCTGTTTTGCAGAAGGCACAAGCTCCAAAAATCCTGACTTAAGCCCCCCCCCCCCACTGCTGTTTTTTATCTGGGTGCAAATATGCTAATTTAATCCTCTTAATCCATGTCGCTAATTTAAGTCTCGCTGATTTCCATGGATCTGTGCAAAGGATAACAACATCTGGATCCAGGCTCAGCGGTGTTTTTTTTTTTATCCCCCCCCCCTCTGAATACACAATCATCTACTTTAAAAGACATTATTACGTACACAAAGAAGAAGAAAAACAGAAATATGAACTGGTTTTTCTTTTAATTTTGCCTTTTACTCTAAATTTGTTAAGTCTTGTTACAGTCTTGCATTTTATACCCTGGTGCAGCCTTGCAACTAATCAATAATGTATCATAATTATGATACAAAGCAAAAGGACAATTACAGATTTATCTGTATACTTCAAATATAAATTTCTTGGGTATTTTTTAAAAAAAAGTTTTTAGAACCTTAATCCGTTTTAGCAAAAATGGAGCAAAATAGTAAACTATAAAACACATCATCCCAATTTTCTTTGAGTATACAATCAAAACAAAATATAATTCCTCCATTTTAAATGCACCCTGTGACATCTCCTTTCCAATATTTAAATTCTGCACCTGTTTGGTCACGCAGCCTGTGACTTGTTCAAACTCTGAGCCATAGAGGACTTAGTAAATTCAACCCAGCAAATGTATTTATTTTTTTAAATCCCGCCTTTATTATTTGTATAAATAACTCCAGGCTGGAAATACAACACTCCTTCCTTCTCCTATCTTCCTCACAACAACAGCCCTGTGAGGTGGGTTGGGCTGCAAGATGGAGAGACGGGTCTTCATTAGGCATAGAATTTGAATCTATCTCTTCCCCCGTCTTCCAGCATGCCACGGCTTAGCGCAGGGGTCTGCAAAATTGGCAACGTTTAAAACTTGTCCACTTCAAATCCCAGAAATTCTGGGAATTGAAGTCCACAGATCCTAAAGTTGCCAAGACCTTTGGTTTAGTGCAACCTGAAATAACCCCAAAGTATTCCCAGAGCATTCCTGTAGGATTGAAGGATTGTGCATGGTTGTGCAAATACACAATCCTAGCCATTGTTTGCATCCTCCCTAACCTTAGCAAGGTTTGCTAACACTCAGTGCGGCATCCCCCAACGTAACCCAGGCTGTTAACCCCAAACCTGGGGTCTCCCAGTCTTAGCAAGGGTGACCTGGGAACCAAACACAACCAGAGGCGTAACTGCAAGACTGGAACGGCGTCTCTTTTATTCCTATCTCTATCACCTTATGAAGCAATGCTTAGATGTAATAAGGTTACCATTCCAGGTGTCTTGCCTGCATGTAAGAGAGACTGAGGGGAACGCGGTGGCTCAGTGGCTAACACTGAGCTTGTCGACCAGAAGAGTTTGCAGTTTGGCGGTTCGAATCCCTAGCGCCGCGTCACGGAGTGAGCTCCTGTTCCTTG